CTCGACCCTGGAAAGTCATTGTCAGTGAATTTGTCTTTTAACTTGTGTTCTTTCTCAGTTTTTATTTATTTCCCTCTTTGCTGTCCACCTGAATGTGGACATTTTGGGCGTCTCAGCCAAAGGTCCTCGAACTCTTTCCAAATGGAAAAACTAATCATCCAATAAAGTACAATAACAAAGAACATTCAGTTGCCTTGTTTTATTAGTTGGGGGGCGGGGGGTTCTCAACGTTTTTGCCACTGTTCCAGTGATTGGAACATTATGGCGGGTTTATAAATAGTCTGCGGTCTCTGTGTTCCAACATGTCTGCCGTTTACAGCGTGAACTTCAAAAGGAAAACCAGTGCAGGTGAACACTCTCTATGTACACAGTTATGTGAAGAGTCACAAGGTCTTTTTTTCTTTACACTTTATTGTTTACTACCTATATGTGTGGCACATGGCCGGATCAACAGGTGCGTCTGGCTTCAAGATTGATTTTAGGGTAAGGGTTAAAGTAGTATTAAACTTTTTTTTTCAATAATGAATGCAGAATTAAAAAAAACACATTGCCCAGCAAGGTAGGTTTTATATTTTGACCCGAACACTTAGGTCAGGGGTGTCGAACTCAATTTAATCATGGGCCTCATCAACATTATGGTTGCCCTCAAAGGTATCTGTAAGGCTATATAAATGTATCTAATCTTTATCATAATTGCCTCGGCATTCGATCATCACTGGTAGCGATGCACGGATATATCGGCTGAAAATGCAATTTTCCTGCCGATACATCGGCACATCCCAGGTTTCTCTCCTCCCCGCTGGGCACTGCTCTGTGTCCCAGCAGTGAGGAGAGAAACTGTCACAGGCGGCCGAGCGCTGCGAGAGGAGAGCGCTGTGAGCGGACTGTGTCTCTCCTCCCACACCGCTCAGCCCCCTATCACAGTCCGGCAGAGCGGTGTGTGGGCGGAGACAGGCCGCGCTGTCACAGGAGGCTGGGCTCTCCTCCCCGAACCGCTCGCTCAGCCTCCTGTGACAGCGTGTCAGGATGGAGAGCGGGTACAAGGAGTGATCAGTGATCGCAAATAATTGAGGACATTGCATGTTAACTATATCCTCAATTATGAATGAATGGGAAGTGATCTACATCACCTCCTGTTCATTCATGGTTGTAGTTATAGTAAACATACTCTGTCCTCATGTTATGAATGGACAGGAACACTCAGTATAGAGGATTCCCGTTCATTGATAACAGAGGCTGCAGAAAAAGAGATTGAGGACTCTGTATTCTCAATCTCTTTTTCTATTTTAAAAGGGAAATATCAGGGCTCGAAGCCCCTAAAAGTAAAGTAAAAAATAAAAATATTTAATAAAAATGAATAAATAAATATATAAAATAAAAGTACAGAGCAGAATAGTAAATAAGTGATAGATTACCGTATTCATAGTCAGTTCAAATCTTTTTGTATTGTTTTTAATTGGTCGATAAGTAGAGATTGGCCATGTCTGTTACTCAATTTTACATGAAAAAATCCTTTTTCTAAGAACAAAATTTAAACTTTTGGTCTGTCCCGATCTTTAAATTAACCCTTGGACTCCCTATAGGTAGCCTGAACCTTTTTTGTTTGATTTATGCTTTTATATGGGTTATTGATCTGGTAAGACGGACCCATCCTCAAGGGTAAAATATTTAGAGCTATTGTATCTCCAGAAGTAAAACAACCCAATTGTTATCTACAAGTCTCTCTGCGTCTCACTCATATTTTGTTTTGTATTCCTTGGGGGTGTGGTGTCTCGGGACACATGTTATGTGGGCTACCATTAAAGGAGAACTATGGGGCGAGTGCTTTTCACTCACCTCATAGTTCTAGCCGACCTGTGAGAATGAGACTGTCGCAGGTCGGCTCAGTAGATCGGGAGGTGAGGGAACACATACCGGCTTTCGCTCACCTCTCGCTCCTGTTACGGCTCTCTGCCGTGACAGGGGAGGGGCTGGATTCCCCGCTCCGATCCGCCAGCGCTGACTGGCAGAAAGGACGGGGGAGGGGGCGGGTACAGCTGGCTCTGCCTCTAGATAGGCAGAGCCAGCTGTCAGTCACGCAGCTGGGCGGATCTCGACATCGATGTCGAGATCCGCTGCGGCGTCTCAGTATACCGCGAGCTTAGGTTAACGGGAGAACGCTAGTTTGTGTCCTCCCGTTACCCTAAGGAGAACTATGGGGAAACGCCCTGACCCCATAGTTCTCCTTTAATACTCCATCCACGTCTGTGGTCTCAGTCATATTTTGTATTCCTTGGGGGGTGTATGTGAGTTACCACTTCTTGTTCCATATGCAGTTTTTATATTACGATGAAACGTCTTCCAGAGGGTCATATAATAGTGGTCAGGTATAAACGCACACATCCTGCCTTGAAGATCTAGGAATTTTCTACAGAAGCAAATGGGGTGAATTCTGTGAAAAGTAAATAAACGTTTCCAAAACTTTTTATGGCGAACATGTGCCGACACGGTATTAATACATTTCTGCCCCCCTCCTTCCTCGCCAGTCATCGCGTTGAATCTGATTCCCGTGTGGATCCTGCAGAATTCCTAATAAAACCGTCACTGAAGTTCTTTGTGTAAGGTTATGTAACGCGTGCCTGCTGGAAGGTGCCCTAATACCCCTTTTTCACTTTCATGTCTCTCTGAGAACTTGGCCCAGGGGGGGTCCCTTACCCCGAGTTCAACCGCAAGAGCACAAGACTTTCATTGTCCTGGCAGCCCCGCGGCTCAGAACAGCGCGAGTCCCCGCAAAAGTTGACGAGCGGCACGTCTGGCCTGCAGATGTGAGGGAGCCTGACAGACAGGCTCTTAGGAAAAGGAAACCCAGTGTTTGCCTTTTGACTTTCTCCGCTCTCGTAGTGTCAATAAATACACCCGGAGCGCTCGGCGGGGCCCCTTCACTCAAAGTGTCAACCTCAAGAACCGCAAAGACCTCAATCAAGGCCCTGGGAGCGCAGCGCGAAGGGCCGCTCTTAACGTCAAAGAGCTTTTATGACGCGGCGATGGCTTTTGGTTTAAGATCGCGATTCGGAAACCCCCAGATGCCGCGCCGTGCTGTGAAAATAATCGCCGTTTCAACAGAAGCACCTTTCACCTTCGCGTCTGGAGGGCTCATTAACGCGTATGATGTATTCGGCCTCCAGTTTTAAATCTCTCGTATTTGTTATTCTCTCGTCTTTTTTCCAAAGCGGCGGCCGGGCCGGCGGTTGATCTGTAAGTTCATTGTACGGAGCCCAGATTCTCATTTTTTTTTCCGACCGTGGAAATGTGGTTTGCGTTGTGAGCTACTGCCGCGGAGAAATTGAATTTGTTTGATTTCATAAATATTGAATCCATAAAAGAGACGCAATCCGGAGATCTTTGTGCTCTAAAAACGATTTTTCTGATGAGAGTTGAATTTTCAGGTTTTTTTTCTTCTTGTTTTTTGTTGTTCGATGATTTAGGGAAAGAATAGCAGCGGAGCGGAGCGTCCTGTTTGGCACGCGGTCTCTCCTCAGTGATCATAAAGAGGCCATTGTTCAAATGTTTGTGACATTCCATTGCCAGAGATGCTCGTGCCATCGGGGGATATACCAACCAAAATTGGTTTGTGACGTATTTGTGGTTTTGTACTGCCCAGGGCAGGGTTGGGCAAACTCCGGCCCTCCAGCTGTTGTGGAACTACAAGTCCCATGATGCAGTGCAAGACTTTCTTAGCCACAGGCATGACTCCCAGGTGCATGATGGGATTTGCAGTTTCACCACAGCTGGAGGGCCGGAGTTTGGCCACCCCTGGCCTAGGGGATTCTGTGCTGCTTAAAGAAGAAATCCGAGTCATACGTAACCCTTGCAGTGGTGCTCCCCCTGAACTTCAAGGGTTAAGTGCTTCTTTTTAGTCTAGGGTCCATAATAACAAAGATACAGTATACTCACCCGAACCTCAGTCCCTCCTAGCTTCTAGACCAGTCCCTGCAGCCTTGCTCCCCCTCTGCTCCTGTGAGCCACTGAGGAAATGCTTCCTCCTGCCTGCAGCAGAGTGATCACTGGGGGAGGGGAGACTGAGGAAATGCTTCCTCCTGCCTGCAGCAGACTGATCACTGGGGGAGGGGAGACTGGGGAAATGCTTTGTCCTGCCTGCAGCAGACTGATCACTGGGGGAGGGGAGATTGAGGAAATGCTTTCTCCTGCCTGCAGCAGACTGATCACTGGGGGAGGGGAGATTGAGGAAATGCTTCCCCTGCCTGCAGCAGACTGATCACTGGGGGAGGGGAGATTGAGGAAATGCTTCCCCTGCCTGCAGCAGAATGTTGACATATCAACATAGGCAAAGTCACCTAACTAGAGCTATAGGAGGACTTAATGCCATAAAGTGAGCTGCTTTGACACAATTTCTGAACATTGCGACACGTCCGTCATGTATCCGTGCAGAAGAACATGAAACGACTGTCATTTCCAGCCACATTGTCTGCGGTCACATGCTGACATCACCGGCCAATGGATCTCAAGGGAAATGTGGAGCCGTTGCTCATCATAGTTTAGGAGGTCCCATACACAAGCACATATGGCTGGATTTAGCATGCATCTCTGTGTATGAACTACAAGTCCCAGCATGCCTTGGAGGGCCGGTTGCCAGCCCCTGGTGTGCAGTCTACCTTGCTACCTCACATATATGGTACACATAGTTGTTGGGGTTGAGTAAAGACACAGGTCCATGGAGTTCATCCTATGGGGAGGGGGGGATGAGTTACTGAGACTTGCTCCCATCTTGGTGCACGGCTCTTGTTTGCAGTACCCGGACGCGGCATTCACGGAGCTGTGTGCGTGCGACCATAAAATAACACTCGATGACATTGTTGGGATAGTTCAACGTTATTGGCCATTACATAAGAGCTTGGCTGTCTGCCACGCTGGGCGCATGGATGCCTGTGTTTTATATCGCCGCGCTGCGTCCAGGAGGCCGTCTCTCTCATTGTCTGTCTTCTCTCTTTTGTCTCTTTCAGCATTAACAATAAGCTCCAGCAGCCGGAGGCAGCAGCCGGGGTCTTAGAGTTTGCCATGAAGCATTACGGGGAATTGGTGAGTGTGCCCTGTGTTCAGGGGTTGCGGCATAATGGAGCCGACAAAAATAACACATCAAAGCCATTTTGTGTATTGGAATTATGTGCGGTACGCTAAGAATCCCAAAAGTGGTGGGATAAAAATAAATAAAAATGGTGATTATTTGTGGTACGTACCTCTCATATGTGTTCTGATTCTAAAATGGATATAGGTAAGTATAGTAAAAAAAAAAAAAAGTAATATTGGGCGCCTAGAAAATACAATTTAATGAGACTTTTACCCAGGGCTGGCCCTATAATGAGGCAGCCTAAGGCTATTGCCCCAGGCGGCATCTCTTAGGGCCGGTGCACACGTAGGCGATTCCGAGCGGTCAGGAGTCGCCAAGGTGTGAACCGATCGCGCTGCGGGTGCCATTGTTTTCTAAGGGCACCCCAGTCGTGGCGGGCAGATCGCGCGGTTTCCCCGCATGCTTCCAAACACGGAAAAACAGCCGCGCGTCGTGTATCGCCACGTTGTGCAGGGCCGCATGACATCCGGATCGCAGAGGTCTGCACCGGGCTTCAGGGTCACATGGGGGGTCTAATGCGGCACCCCTGCTGACCTCGGGGGCGGCACCCCTGCTGACCTCGGGGGCGGCACCCCTGCTGACCTCGGGGGCGGCACCGCTGCTGACCTCGGGGGCGGCACCGCTGCTGACCTCGTGGGGCGGCACCGCTGCTGACCTCGTGGGGCGGCACCGCTGCTGACCTCGTGGGGCGGCACCGCTGCTGACCTCGTGGGGCGGCACCGCTGCTGACCTCGTGGGGCGGCACCGCTGCTGACCTCGTGGGGCGGCACCGCTGCTGACCCCCGAGGTCCGCAGCATTAATAAGCATTGCCGTTACACACAGGTGTGAAGCCGCTCTAACATAATCTGTTGCATCTGTAACATATGTACGTACATTCACCCGTATGATGGTCCAGATGTGTTCTAGGATTGCGGCCTACCTTTTATATGACAGTTCTCACGTGTGAACATTGCCTCACATCTGGAAAAGCTGACACGCGTGATCTGAACACGGGTTATATGTACTTTGTGTTACTGATCTGCTACACTGTGTAAAGCTCCCTCTGTGCGCTTTTATCCTTCACACATCCTCAATCCTTTAAAAACTCCTTTTTTTTTATATAACACAAAACATTTATTAAAGTGAATCTGAACCGACTCGTTGAAATCTAACATGCTTCTGTTATGTCCAAGGTTTTCAATCTTAAAGGAGAACTCCGGGGAAATGAATGTTAACCCTTGCAGTGGTGCTCGTTCTGCTCCCGGGAGGAAAACAAACTTATACTCACCCGATCTTCGTAGCTAGCTTGCGGTGACGGCACTTCCTCCAGCCTCTCTCTCCTCCTATGCTGCAGTGATGATCTGTCCCCCTGCGTCCTCACGTTCTATACACTGTGTATCGGACAGGATCTTTAGACCGCTGTAGCAGAGTACGATAGAGGCTCCAGGGACCAGTGTAAGAGCAAGCCGGCTCCGAGGATCAGGTGAGTATTTTCCTCCCTAGACCAAAACGAGCACTTAACTCTTGCATTGCGGGGGGTAGCCCCACTGCCCAGGGTTGAGAAAAGATTTCTCCGGAGTTCTTCTTTAACTATCCCTGGTGATCCTGCCCATTGAAAGTCTTTGTTCAGAAACTTCCTGTTGTAGGGCAACACCGCTCTGTCCCTGTCTTCCTGTTGGGCTTTTGTGTTGTCACCTTGTCATGTTCGGTCCCTGCTGACACGCGCTGCTCAAACATGGTGTACACCAGGAAAGCGGTCCTGAGCAGTGCTGTACAGCTGACGCAGGAGCAAGTGCATGTAGACGGGAAGTGGCTCAAAGAAGGGGATCATCTAGCACTTTACTCTCTAGCCTCACTGTCCCTGGCCCCGCCCCTTTCATTAATTGGATTTCAGTTCTGTCAATCATGGAGGCTCAGCATTACCTAGGGCAGTCTGCATGCAAATACAGCCTGCCTAGAAACTCCCAATACTTCAGACTGAAAACCACTCAAATTGACATTTTGATATTTGCATAACTCCTCCCAAGAGTCCGCCCACTTCCTGTATTAGGGCTGAGGACTCTTTAGAGGAGTACTGAGGCAGGGAAGCTATGTACAGCACCCTGCAAATATTGAGCAACAAATCTGCATTGCTGCACCTGCCTGCCTGCCGCCCAAACCCTGTAACCCCCCCGCCCCACTCCTGGTGACCCAAAGAGATGCTGCCGCCTCTTTGGGCCATTATAGGGATAGCCCTGACGCCTCCAAAGAGCTGGCCCAGTGCCAAGGGCTCTTGAGAGGAGTACTGACATAGGGTGCTGTTATGGTTTCAGGAAGCTTTGTACAGCACCTCCCCCCCAGCCATGATCTGCCTGCATTGCATACAAAAGCACAGAGACCCAGCGATGACATCACCGGGTATAAAATAAGGGATGTAATGAAAAAGGAAAGGTTTCCGTTATAGAAATATCATTAGCATGCTGATGTTGGGGGAGGGGGTAGAAACCAGGAAAAGCAAAATATAATTAGATTCTACTTGAGCTTTAAGTTGAGCTTTTCTATGGACGGTGGCAGAAGCAGAGAACACAGGAGGAGAAGGGCTGACAGAAGCGGCCGAGTCAAATCCATTCCCCTATCTGAGGCCTCTTCACAAAGGCCCTTCTGTGTTAGGGGAACGGTGGAGAACGGCTTTAATTGCTTCCTGCGGGGCTCAACTGCGACCGAAATGTCTCCCAATTACCTCACCCTTGCAGAGAATAACGTTATTGTACGAGAGGCACCCCCGAGCGGGGCCATCCCCGCCGTCCAAAGGCACCGCTCGCAAATCTCCCTCAAAGCCAAGTCCCCGGCTCTGTGCTGATCAGGGGTATCCCAGGAGTACCGAGACCCGTGGCAATGAGCCAGGACCTCAGAGAGGAGACCCGGGGCAATGAGCCAGGACCTCGGAGAGAAGACAACAGGTCTCGGAGACCCGGGGCAATGAGCCAGCACCTCAGAGAGGAGACCGCAGGTCTCAGAGACCCGGGACAATGCGCCATGACCTTAGAGAGGAGACCCGGGGCAATGAGCCAGCACCTCAGAGAGGAGACCCGGGGCAATGAGCCAGCACCTCAGAGAGGAGACCCGGGGCAATGAGCCAGCACCTCAGAGAGGAGACCCGGGGCAATGAGCCAGCACCTCAGAGAGGAGACCCGGGGCAATGAGCCAGCACCTCAGAGAGGAGACCCGGGGCAATGAGCCAGCACCTCAAAGAAAAGACCGCAGGTCTCTGAGACCCGGGGCAATGAGCCATGACCTCCTCAGAGAGGAGACCCGGGGCAATGAGCCATGACCTCCTCAGAGAGGAGACCCGGGGCAATGAGCCAGGACATCAGAGAGGAGACCCGGGGCAATGAGCCATGACCTCCGAGAGAAGACCGCAGGTCCCAGAGACCCGGGGCAATGAGCCATGACCTCCGAGAGAAGACCGCAGGTCCCAGAGACCCGGGGCAATGAGCCATGACCTTCCGAGAGAAGACCGCAGGTCCCAGAGACCCGGGGCAATGAGCCATGACCTCAGAGAGAAGACCGCAGGTCCCAGAGACCCGGGGCAATGAGCCATGACCTTCCGAGAGAAGACCGCAGGTCCCAGAGACCCGGGGCAATGAGCCATGACCTCAGAGAGAAGACCGCAGGTCTCCGTGAAGTCGTGTAAGACGATCAGAGAGGATCCTGGAAACCCGAGGATTAGCGGGCCACCTCTTGACGTGCCCCAAAACCACAACTTCCCAGGAAAGTTTATAGATCCTAATCCAAAGAATCCCACAATCAACTCCACCGCTAACCACAGGAAGAGAGAGGTTATGTTCAGGAAGAAAGGGAAACGTCTCCTGACTAGTTATGTGTTTCTAAGAAATATTTCACTTGGCTTGTGGAAAATAAAATCTGTACATTCTGAAACTTTCAGATCAAAAGCAATTCAAGAGGTTTAAAGGAGAAGTATGAGGTGAGGGATTTTCACTCATTCTCATAGTTAGAGCCGACCTGTGACAAAGAAGCTGTCACATGTCGGCTCTATTGATCGGGAAGTCAGTGAACACATACCGTCGCTCGCTCACTTTCCGATCATCTCCCTGCAGAGAGCCGTGGCCCCCCGCAGGGATTCCCCCCCCTCTCCCCGCTCCGATCCTCCAGCGCTGACTGGCGGAACAGGCGGGGGAGGGGGCAGGTACAGGTCTGTTAATCCTGTAGAAGAATACAGTTTACCGACATTTCAGCCCTCTTTAGCATAAAATGGCAGACAGCAGAAAACAGGCAATGCCAAGTGACAGAAATGTCAAATCTTTTTGCAGAGATATTGACGTGCGAATGTTTTTTGCCGTTCCCTAATACCGATCAAGCCAGGTTGGTGTACAGTTATGTGTCAGATTCTTCCTAAGGTTGTCTCTGTCATGGTTTCCTTCTGCAGGAGATCCAGGCTACCTGGTACGAGAAGCTCCACGAATGGGAGGACGCCCTGGTGGCCTACGAGAAGAAGCTGGAGGTGAACAAGGATGACTCGGAGTTGATTTTGGGGCGCATGCGATGCCTGGAGGCGCTGGGAGAATGGTGAGTTCACAGTCCACCTACCATGTTATATCGAACACGACTGGGTTCACAAAGAGGATTCTGCTCTTGGGACATGGATGATACATCGTAGATCATCCAGTGCCGCTTCATGCCCAATCCATGTGTGCAGTATATGTAGAGCAGGGGTAGCCAAACTCTGGCCCTCCAGCTGTGGTGGAACTACAAATCCCATGAGGCATTGCAAGATTCTTACAGTCACAAACATGACTCCCGGAGAGAGATGCATCATGGGATTTGTGGTTTTACCACAGCTGGATGGCCGGAGTTTGGCTACCCCTGATGTAGAGTATTAGGAATCATTTGTAACTTGCAATGGATTATTGTGTATTTCAATACCACAGGGACTTTCCCAGCACAGGCCTGAGGCTGCAGTGCAAAAGCCTGGTTGATGTTACCTTTGGAAACACACATTGCTCAGATCTTTAATGAAGAACATCAGGAATTGAAAAGACTTCCTTGCAGTGGGGGTACCGCCTGCATTACAAGGGGTTAACTGCTTAAGTCCCACCATGTGGCTAAGTCATCAGTCTCACCAGGTTGCTAGGTTGGTGCCCGCAGCCTCTTTTCCTCTGGGCTCTGGTGATTGAGGGACTGTTCACAACATCACATGTAATGCATGTCCATTGGACCTGTATTAGATATAAGGACTAGGGATGCACCGATACTAGTATTGGTGCTGATACCAAGCATTTGGACGAGTACTTGTACTCGCCCAAATTGTCGCGATACCGGGAGTTCCGGTATCAGGAAGCTGGGCGGCGAGTCATTATACGCCTCCCGGCTTCCTGATTGGCCGGGAAGCCAGCTCCATGCTCCCTGGTCTCTTGGTGACGACATGGGCAGACAGTGTGAATGGAGCAGGCTGGCATGTCTGCGGGCACAGCGGCACTATGACACACGAAGGAGGGCGTTGCTGGCACTAGATTAGGCCGCCCCGCACTCACCTCCGGAGTCATATAGGACACGATAGACCGCTGCTTGGGGGACTTGGCCGCCCCTCCGGCTCCGAGCCCCAGCATGTCCTGGTGCATCGCTCAGCTCCCTGCCAGGTATTCCCTCTACAATTGCTACACCAGGCATCACTTGGTGACGAGGGAGCCGGCTAATCAAGAAGCCCCCCCGGATTCCTGATTGGCCAGAAAGCTAGCTCCATGCTTCCTCGTCACCTGGTGATGAGGGGGCATGGGAGAGGCTTCCCGACCAATCAGGAAGCCGGGGTGGGGGTAATGACTCGCCCCCCGGCTTCCTGAGTGGCCAGAAGCCGGCTCCATGCTTCCTCGTCACCTGTTGACATGGGAGCATGGGGACAGCTTCCCGGCTATTTAGGAAGCTGGGCAGTGAGTCATTACACATCGCCCGGCTTCCTTAATGGGACTTCCAGTATTGGTTTTCGGTATCGGGAGTACCAACCAAAAATATCAATACTCAATACAGAAAAACCGCCATCGGTGCATCCATAATGAGGCCTCCAAGGGACATTCCACAGCCACAAAGCAGAGTGAGAGCAAACTGCTCGGGGGCTGAGGATCAGCCGAGTATATAATCTGTTTTATTTTAGCCCTTTAGACAAAACAAGACCTTAACTCTTACAGCGCCGAGGTGGCCCCACTGCTAAGGTAAGCTTTGTTATATTCCCGGAGTTCTTCTTTAACACATCATGCAAAATACTCTGTGTCGCCTGGTCCTGCTTATATCAGCTTTAGATGAGCAATAGACATAAATATTCCCCATATAGCAGCGCAGAGCCCTGCGAGTCTTGATGTCTTTGATAATAGAAGACGAGATCAAGCGGTTTGAACCTTCGCTGCGAGACGAATAATAAAATGACAAGAAGCCGAGGCGCTCGTCCGCTTCCAGATAGTGTCGGCTTGTCAGCGCGCTCGCCGCTTCAAAGGACCGCGATCATAATCTGGGTTCTCACGCGCGCAGCCTGCCTGCGTTATACACCAAGAGGATCCGAAGAGAGGACAGGCACGGCTCTGCAGGCACTTAGTATGTTCAACACGTGTTTGTGATTCCTAAAATGACACCCCCGTAGCGTTCTTATTAACCGGGTCAAATGCCTCAATCTGGAATTGGCGCTCGGTAATATATACTGTCTGTTCTGTCGTCCAGCCAAGGAGATCAAAATCTGGCCAGGTAATGGAAGCAGAAATGTAATAATGTAAAGCTCTCCGAATTCCTTTAGAGAAAACGTGTGCCAGCTTTGCTTTGATCCGCCCCCCCCCCCCCCCACT